TATTAATGGCCCCATGAGGAAAACCTTTCTGCTTCCGCCCAGAGAAAAAGAACAGTTCTGAGACTCAGAGAACAATGTATTAGAGGAGTTTCCAGGAGTTTCTGTGGGAAGCAAAGGGCAGTCAAAGATAGAAAGGAGGTGGCCTGTGCAGAGGGACCACAGGGTCCTTAAAAGGCCAGTTGAGGCTATGACAGGAGATACTGGAGAGGGTTCCAAGGCAGGAGCATATTGCCTGGAGCTGGAGGACCTACAAAGACACAATGTTGACTTTCAGGGACGGGACAAGACAAAAGTTCTGGCCAGTCACCTGCTGGTGGAGGCCTCCAGACTCTGCGTCCACTCAAATTCTACTCCACGCTGAGCTTATAGCTCTCCTGTGTACCTAGAACCACAGAGGTGGCTACCCTGGTGCCCATGGTCCTTTTTACCTTGTGTGGGGGGGGATGGGAAGAGTGGGATTCGCAAGACTGCAGCAATAGTGTGAGGCCATAAGCCTTAACGTGGTAGGTAGAAGTCGGGAATCCACAAAACTGTGGAAGTCCATGTAGGTCAGAGACCATGTGTTTGAAGGGAATTTTGCAGACTTTCAAACTTTTCATTCAACTTTCCGATAAGTCATTCAACCAACTTGGATTCCACTATGAGAGATATTTATTTTTAATTATATGCTACAATATGAGGACATAATAGATGTTCACAGGTACCACGTTCACATGCTTTGATATTATGTTATGAAAACTGTACATAGTACTAGTGCTTCTTAATTCCAATGATTAACAAAAGCACTGTGTTTAGGGTATATGCTAAGTTTGGCACTTATATATGTGCTAGAATTGTTTACATTAGGGATGTGTGTATGCTATGTGTTGAAGAGATACATGGTTTGGGGTAGTATTTGTATTAGGATTGCCTGAGGGATATGTGTGTATGTGTAAGGGTGTGTGTGTGCACTAGGAATGTAGGTATGTGTGGATTTTAGGGGTATGCGGGTAAGTGATACTAAATTCTGACTTTGGTTCAGAAATGTCATATCATAGGCAAGTATGTACTGTGCCTTCCCTGGAGACCATAAACACCACTGTATACTCCTGGCATAGGAGATATTATTCACTTTCTGGCTGGGGATACATCAGGGGCATTTTGGGCCCCGAGTATCTTTTGGGACCTCTTACATTAGTTAGGAGTGGAACATCTCTTATCTTGAAGTTAAGCATTCTTTACCCTCTGAATTTCTAGTCTATACACAAGAAGAAGAACCCCAGCCCTGCCTTCAAGAGCACTGTCTATGAAGAGGTAAGATGCTCAAATTCCTTCTGAGTGGATTTAGTGTCTGTAGCACAGCCCTGAAGTCCAGCCATGGAAGGGTATACTTATGAAAAGGTCCTCTGCACAGTCTCAGAGTCGTAGAGATTTTAGGAATTCTGTAATCCAAATCTTCATTTTAGAGATGAATACACTAAGGCCCAAGGAACATGAGTGTCTAACCCAAGATCTACCATATGTTCAAGTTTGACTTTTATTAACCAGCTTGAGTTCTAAATGAGGTCTGTCCTTGAGCTAGTTCCCAGGCTATGGGCCATAAATTGGACATCTCTCCTTTCTAAGGGTGTGTGTGTGTGTGTGTGTGTGTCGGGGTAGGGGTCAGACAGGTAGTCACTCTAAACGATTTTCTAAAATGGGCAGTCATTGGAAACCATTCTAAAGACATGAGTGGCCTTAAGCTTCTGCTGCAGAAGACACTGTTCAAAAGTGACCACTGAGCCTGGTGGCTGAATTGATTCCCACCAGGCCATTTAGGGAGTGTAAGGAGGGACCAAATATTTATTGGGGTCTTACTGTGTATAAGGAAGCCTGCCAGTGTTTGCAAATGAATTATCTCATTTAATCCTCATGGAATGCTGTAAGGTAAGTATGCAAATGAATTATCTCATTTAATCCTCATGGAATGCTGTAAGGTAAGTATGATTATACTCCCCATTTATACCCAGAGAAATTAAATCATGGAGAGTACCCCCATTAGCCTCATACTACACCTGAGCCTCTACCTGTGGTCTGATAAAGATGTTGCCACTGGTCACAAGGCAGAGGGAGGGTGTGTGCCCACTGGGATTCCTGGCACTTCAGCTGTAGCCTAACATTAAAGCCAACTGGACAGTCTAGGGTTGTAGAGGACACAGTGTGGGCCAAGGCAGTGTGGGGGTCATGAAGAAGCATGTGTGGTTAAAAGAGCACTGGAATTGAAATCAGAAGAACTGGGCCAAGTCCCTCCTTTTGTGCTGGTCATTGACCCTGAGTATTACCACTCCAAGCTTCAATTTCTTAATCTGTAAAATGCAGATAATTCATAACCCACAAGATTATTACAAGGATCTCCTAGTGGGAGGGTCTGAAGTTTCTCCTCTTCTTCTGCAGGTTGGCAAGAGACAACCCAAAGCCCAGAACCCTGCTCGACTGAGCCGCAAAGAGCTGGAGAGTTTTTATGTGCATCCCTAGCTGCTGCAGCCATTCTTGCCTCTCTTAGCTTCAGCCTCTGCTTTGGGAATCGGCACAGTGGATGGTGCTACTTAGAACAGTTCCTAGTCTGGAGAGGATACAGAAGTTCGCTCAAGGTCTATATTTAATTTTGAAAATGATTTCTAACAGCCATTATAAGAGCAAGGCTATTAAATAGTATCTCCCAACTTACAGACAAGACAAAAATGGATGGAGAGGCTGGGTCATACACAAAAGACCACATTCCAAGTATTTGCAATCTATAAAATGACAGGTACATTGTGGTTTTTTGTCGTTGTTGCTGGTGGCTGTGCTCATGGGGACAGGGACCCAAACCCATGACCTTGGTGTTATAAGGCTGTGCTCTAACCAGCTGAGCTAACCGGCCAGCCCTATAAAGTGATATGTAAATGCAGGGTGGTGTTGTTATTAACAGCAAGATTCCCATCCCTGGTTTTCTTGTCTCTTACTTGTTGCCCCTTCTCCTTGATCTGGGATGACTGCATTTCTAGACCATCATTTTGCTCAGGCCCATCTTCCAAAGCCAGAGGAAGAGAAGATAATGGTCACTCAGAGGAAGAGGGAACACTCCTTCTCTGTGAGGCTGGACTAACTGGCTGTAAGCTGGCTGCTGTGTTCTCCACAGCGTCCAGGGCCTGGGCTTTACTCAAACACAGAGGAAAAACTTTCCCCCCACATTTCACTCCTTTACCTCTGGACAGTTGGTCTCCAGGACACTGGGCAGAAGCAAGAGTAGACATGGTGCAAAGCAAGCCTATCTCTGAGTAGAAAAATCACCCAGAGCACACACCATCCTGACAACTGGCTGGTGAGTCCAGCTTTGTCTACAGTATGATGTTTGATTTACAAAGACACATTAAAAATATATTTTGGCTTCTTCATAGAAGAAGAGCCTTCTTAGAACCATATTTTTTTATTTTTATTTTTTTAAATCTTTTGGCTGGCCAGTGTAGCGATCAAATTCTGGACCTTGGTGTTATCATCGCCATGCTGTAACCAACTGAACTAACCGGCCAGCCCCTCAAAAACCATATCGTATTTAAGTTCTGAGTCCTGATGAGTGCTCCCCATGGTATACTCATCAGGAGGGAGGGCTCTGACAACTGAGTGCTGAAGATAAGGCAATTGGGAACTAGACATTAGGCTATGTTCCCTGAGCCTTCAGCCCAGATCCTTCATCAAAGCTGTCGGGAGCAGGGCTGAGACTCTGGCTGAGCCCAGGAAAGGGACGAGGGTGAACTGAGAGAGGACTCAATCAGAGACCCTATAAGGTGATACTGCAGGAAGCCTGGTTCTTCAGTTGCCCCACCCTGTATTTAACATATGAATTGAATATAAAATTGTGGTGTTATACAGGGGCAGTCTAAATCCCTTACCTTGAGAGTAGAACATTGGTTACCAGAAACTGGGGAGGGAAGGGGGGAAGAGAAAACAGGGAGAGGTTGACTAACGGGTACAAAATTACAATTAGATAGGAGAATAATTTCTGATGTTCTAATACACAGTAGGGTGACTATGGATTACAGTTAAATTTCATATATTACATAATAGCTAGAGGAGAGGCTTTTGAATGTTTTTGTCACAAAGAAGTGATAAATAAATGAAGTCGCTGATACATTAAATACTCTGACCTGATCATTATACAACGTATATGTGTATCAAAACATTGGATTTACCCCATGAGTATGTACAATTAGAATGTATCAGCTAAAACAAATAAACCTCTTGCCTGAATTAAATTCATGTATCTTTTCCATACTCTGCATCTTTACTCTCTATAGCAGCCAAAGGATGTGTATCAAAACATTGGATTTACCCCATGAGTATGTACAATTAGAATGTATCAGCTAAAATAAATAAACCTCTTTCCTGAATTAAATTCATGTATCTTTTCCATACTCTGCATTTTTACTCTCTATAGCAGCCAAAGTGCACTTGTGGGCCATCCACAAATACATGTCTGTTTAAATTTTGCTGGAGAGGGCTTCCCAGTGAGCTGTCAGTGTCCCTGAGCCTGTTCACAATGGGACAGCAGGCAACCAGATACCAGGGCCCATTCAGTCTCATGAAGGCTAGCCAAAGGCTAGCAAAGTAATGCCCTGCCTGGTCCCTCTACCCTGCAGACTGTGTGGTTTGCCAGGCTGGCTTCCTGCTTGAGAGAACTGTGGATACATCACATTTTAAAGCAAGTGTCAGGGGTAAAAACCAGGTAAATATATTCAAGAGCAGTCTGGGGGACTGAGGCAGGTATTGGGGCTGAGTTGCAGAATCAAGGAGTTTGGTGAGCAGAGACAACAGGAAATGATGGTCAGAAACGGTCCAGATGAGCAGCAGAGACATTGACCGTTGACTGCTGCTGGCCTTGCACGTGTCTTGCATTGTGTAGATCTTGAACCGGCCAGATTTATTTAAGGAGCAGAAGTGGTCTATGGACCCAGGGTTTTTGGGGATGCTCTGTTTTGGAGTGTAATACGAGTATGTACAGCATCATCATATTGTGTGTCTGATTGTTGAGCTTCCATGATAATGCCTCACAAAGATAATTATCCATGCAATCTAGTCAATGAACAAGCAGTAATTAAGCTCCTGCTGTGTATGAAGCACTGCCTGACTCCCTGGTAGTACTCTGCAGGCCACAGAAGCCATATTGACTACAAGGCCCATGTGTAGGAAGGCACGATAATAAAAGCACAACGTTGAAGGACATAAATGGGCTGCAAGGTGCGTGTAACACAGTGTACAGTAGAAGATCAGAATATAATCAAGTATGGTGCATCTCACAGGCAGGGGGACAGGGATGCAGTTACACTTTGGCAGGGGGTGGGGGAGGAGGATACTGTGGCTCTTCTGTATCTAGACTGGACAATGAGGAAGGAAGTTATTTTGGGTAAATATGGAAAGCTTATATAAAAGAGGCATTTTAAGCCTTTTAAAAACTATCAAAAGAGTAATAGACACAGTTTTGAAAAATTCAGCAGTACAAAAATGTATGCAGTAAAAAATGTCTCCTTTTGTACTTGAGATTCCCAGTTCCACCCTGGAGGCAGCCACTAATAAATTTTTTTGTATTTCCTTTTGGAACTTTTATATGGCTAGATAAGCACACAGACATACATTCTTTCTAACCCGACTGGTGGCATACAATACACTATTCTGAACTTTGTTCTTTCCACTCAACAATGCATCTTAGAGCTCATTCCCATATTAGCATCCATTACTCTTCATTTTGCTTTCTTTGCAAGGGGTAGGATTTGCCATTGGATGGATAGACTATCACATATTTAACTGGATTCTCACTAAATGGACATTTAGGTTATATGTCACCTTTTATTTTAAATAATACTGCAGTGGGCATTATTTTACACAGATCTCTGTGTCCACGTGTAAGAATATCTGTTGGATTCATTTCAGCAGCTGTTTAGAAGATGGTGTGAAGGATGGTCAGTCCAGGTGCCCTCCAACAACACTTGAGCAGCCTTGGCAGAATTTTGAGGCAGCACATATGAGTGAGAGGAAGAAACAATATGGTTGTGCAAGGAGATAGACAAATAGAGCAAAGATATCCGAAGCCAATAGGCTCCAAGAAGAGCCTGTGTCTGAACTATTATCGGGCTTGGGAGGATATGGGGGTGAAAAAGGGGGGAGGGGTCAAATCCAGGCAACTCTGAGACCCTGAAGGAAATTCTGACATGCTTCTGTCTGCAGGAGGCCCTACGAGGTCCAGCTGCCTCTCCAATCCCAGGGGCCCAGGAGAGAGATTGCAGCTTCTTTTCAAGTGAAATATTCATAGGTAGGGATTTCAGCAAACTCAAGATCATTCTGTTGTGGTGGTGGCGCCACCTGTGAGCCAGAAGAACACACAAGAATATGATTAAGGAAGCCTTGAAAGACTCAGGTTTCTTCAGCTCTGTGCTGGTGAGAGAGAGGAAGGCGGGGCCAGGCTATGACTGGTCCACCCTATAGAAACAGGGTCATGTGGATTGGCTTAGCAATTGAGCAGTTGACCAAGCTGATGGCAAGCATTTATGGAGTCACCTAACGGTAAAGGCCGTTGGGCAATACCAGACAGTTCAGTGAATCAAATACAGGGGACACAAAAGTGACAATCAAGTCTTGCCCCTCTTCTTTTCAAGTGAAATATTCATAGGTAGGGATTTCAGCAAACTCAAGATCATTCTGTTGTGGTGGTGGCGCCACCTGTGAGCCAGAAGAACACACAAGAATATGATTAAGGAAGCCTTGAAAGACTCATGTTTCTTCAGCTCTGTGCTGGTGAGAGAGAGGAAGGCGGGGCCAGGCTATGACTGGTCCACCCTATAGAAGCAGGGTCATGTGGATTGGCTTAGCAATTGAGCAGTTGACCAAGCTGATGGTAAGCATTTATGGAGTCACCTAACGGTAAAGGCCGTTGGGCAATACCAGACAGTTCAGTGAATCAAATCCAGGGGACACAAAAGTGACAATGAAGTCTTGCCCCCAAGAAGCTACTGTTGAATGATCCCAATCTCTGCCCTAGCTGGAGAAACAAGACAAATACTTATATACAGATAATTCGGATGGTGGTGGTTGAGTTACAAAGTAATGGTCCAGACCATTAGACCTTCATGGTCCAAGGGTTCTTAGGATTCCTTGTCTGAGAGTATTCAGAGAAGGTTCTAAAGAGCAGATGAGACCAGAGCTGATACACAGAAGAGAGAAAGATTAGGTACCAGCAACAGCTTGAGAATAGCAACAGCTTTGAGATACTGTGCGGAGATGTGCGTCAGAAAATAAGGAATGGAAATCATCAAGTCGAAGGTATACTTGTTTCCCAATGTTCATTGCAGCACTCTTCACAATAGCCAAGAGCTGGAATCAGCCCAAATGTCCATCATCGGATGAGTGGATATGGAAAATGTGGTACATTTTACACAATGGAATACTACTCAGCTATAAAAACGAATGAAATACTGCCGTTTGCAACAACATGGATGGACCTTGAGAGAATTATATTAAGTGAAACAAGTCAGGCACAGAAAGAGAAATACCACATGTTCTCACTTATTGGTGGGAGCTAAAAATAAATTCACACACACACACACACACAAAAAAAAAACTGGGGAGGGGGGAGAAGACATAACAACTACAATTCCTTGAAGTTGATATGACAAGCAAACAGAAAGAACATTGTTGGGTGGGAGTGGGGAGAGGGAGGAGGGAGGGGGGTTTTGGTAATGAGCCACAATAATCAACCACATTGTATATCGACAAAATAAAATTAAAAAAATAAATAAATAAAAAGTAAAAAAACCCAAAAAACAAAGGTGAAGTCCCTAGCTGGCAAAAACATTAGACCACAATCTAGAAGTCAGGACCAGGCAGATGATGGTCGAACTGAACAGCATATGTGAACAAGTGATTATTGAACAAATTCTATCCATCTTTTAAGGTCCAACTCAGATTGCTTTTTCATGAAGTCTTTCCTCTCTGCAGTGAATTCTCTCACTTATATCTGAAAAATCCTTGGGAACCGCATACATAATATATTAAGAAGTCATGTATTGTTTTCTCTCCCTTTCCAGGTCACTGAATCAACTCACCTCTCATCCACCAAGATAGATAACAAATTCTCACCGTCAGAGACAGTGCCTTAAACATATCTGAATCACCAAAGCACCTACTATAGTTTGGGGCAAACAAAAGATGTTCAATAAATATCTATTCATTGATTCATCAATCCCAGAGAAGTAGCAAAATTGAAAAACATTGAGAATTAAAAAAAGATATTTTTTGAATGCGTTACAGGGAGAGAATTTGGGGGAGATTTGGAAACCAAAGTATGAATGGACCCAATGTTTTTGGGAAAGTAAAAATGGAGTGCACAGTCTGATTCACATCAAGGTTAATTGTTTAGGATTATTGGGGATTATTTTAAAACTCCTTGTGGTTCTTAACACTGGAACTTCCAACTATCTATGTGAACTTAGGCGAGATTCCCAATCTCAGCTTCTTCAGCTATAAAATGTGGATGTCAACACATTTCTAGAGGTGTTACCAGGCTCAGAGGGGAATATGTTTGTCGATGTTTTGTCAAGGTAAAACTTTATATAAAAATTAGTTATTCTTATTATTTAATGGTAAATTCTACCCTTAAGAGATCTTCTAACACTGTAATAAAACCAACGTATTGCAGTTAAGAGCATATTTCAAAAATTCTTTATTTTCACTTTTTTTTGGCGTAAGGACACTTTAGAGAAAACAGAAAATCGAAGGAACCAAGGTTTACAAACAGGAATGCAGCCTCATAGCAAAACGATAAAACAGAACCAAGGGGCGGGGCGCATGTCGGAGGACAGAAATGCGCGTAGCGAGAGCAAGCGAAGGGGAGGAGGATTTTTTCTTCCCATTTCTTAAAACAAAAAACCCGAACCCCAACACAACCAACACAAGAAAGCACACAACCAACGTTTGTTCCCGAGTAGAAACAAAAATAGGGCAGAATGGAAATACTGTTCTCTTCCAAAGGCAAAAAAAAAAAAAAATGAAAGAAAAGTTAACGCAGGGCTCGAGGCTGCATCCCATCGGAGCCCCCTTCCGCGGAGATGCGTGCAAAGCGGCGGCGGCGCGCGGGGGACAGAGGCAGAGTGAGGTCATTCGCTCGCCTTCCCAGGGGCAGGGGGTCCAGCTTGCCGAGTCCGGGGCGCCCTCTGAGTCCCGGGTATCCTCGGGGGACGTCCCCACCCTCTCCGAGTCCGTGCCCTCCACCTCTGCTTCCCCCGGCGAGCCCGCCCCTCGGGCAGGGGACCGCGCATGCGCCCCGCGCACAGGCTGGGTGCGGCCGCCGCTGGTGCTAAGCGGGCAGCCGCAGTAAACGTGGCCGCGGACCTTCCGTTTGCGCTGCGCCACCTGTTTGCGCAGCAGGCGCACCGTGGACTCCAGCTCGGTGTTTTGGCTCTTGAGCGTCTTCACTTTCTCCCCTGAGCGCAGGATGCAGTCCAGCTTGCGCTTGCGACGCTTGCAGGCGGCGATGCGGTTACGCAGCCGCTCGCACTCCCTGCGTGTCTGGGTCGACGGGTCACGACGGCGGGCTGTCGCCGAAGCTCGCCACGTCGGCCACGGTCTGTGGCTCGTCCTTGAGCGCGGCCGGCGTCAGCATCTGCTGCGGCCGCGCCCGCGCCCAGCTGGTTCTGTTTGTGCAGATCCACCAGGGTTTTGGCCGAACCCTCGGCGAACTCTTGCCCGTCGCTGGCCGCCACCCTGGAGTAGAGGACCTGCGTCCTCGTCGGCGTGCTGAGTGGACCACCCGCCACCCCGTTGGACTGGACGATGAGGCGCTCGAGCTCGGGGAAGGCGAATGTAAGCAGTCCCAGGTCCGGCGAGAGGAGCAGGCAGGCGGGGCGCCGCCGC